ATGAACTAGGCGAAAGGAGTTGATAAGTAGACCCAAATACACCAGTTATTCAAATGATGTCTTGAGAATATAAAAAGTCTACGTGTAGTGATTATATTTCTCCATACAATCCAGGCGCCTCTCTGGATGCGCCACTAGTCAAATAATCACACATTTCAACTTACCATAAACCAAAAAACTAACTGATTACTTAGTTGCTAATGGATTTAACAGATTCTTACCAGAATTTGTGAATAAGGGCTTCATGCAAAGTTTAAAAATGTCTCATGCCGTCATATATTACAAATTATCACATTTCAGCGTTCAGATTAGGAAGGAGGGAATGTTTAGTAAATTGAAACGATCCTGGTTGTGTTGTTTGAAATCCACGTGGTCGAATCCATGTTTGCCGTAACCGACCAAGGTGATGAAATCTCTCGCTCTGGGAGGAAAATTTATTGGCCTAATTCGACGATAAAAGTATACTTGCTTATTGGAATGTTCCTTACCCTTTACCGCATGTGATCAGATGGCATCTGCGAAAGGCATCCCTATTATTTATAAATACATCATATTTCGGTTCCTTTTCCAACGAAAAATGAGGTCTAAATAAATAATTGACAAGTTACCTAAGTCAATCTTTCTGTATAAACTGATTCTTAGGACAGTTAAACTATTTTATTTGCCGAAAGTTACAATCCAAAAGATACAGTTGGCTGCGTACATTATTCCCACAGATAAGACTGAAATATTTTGAACAATTTGCACTTTGATTATTGGTTAAAAACATTGCAAGAAGCAGTTCTTCATGCACAATACTTTGTCAGGTTACATACTCGACAAGGAAGTTTCAGTTGTTAACGCAAATAAAAATTCCGGTTTGAATGAAACTCAAAAATGCATTTGGAAGAGATTTTATGAAAGGTTCGTAACACTTTTTCAGTTCGCTTAGAGTAAGTGGTAATTTAGAAACTTAGAGATTGCAGTGCTATGCTGTTGACAGTATTATACTATTCATGTGAGAAATAAAAGTGCCTTTAAATCATCTGACTTTGGCACAAGAAAGCACAGATATCAAAAGGGGCTTTAATCAAGCGGGATGGAAAGCTTTTTTAGGTTGTGGGTAGGCTACAGAAGTGCAGAAACGTTCCAATATTTCCAGTTGTGTTCGCATAAAGCTTTATGATTGAAAATGTCAGCCGAATGCCTCAGAATGGCAACTTAATAAGCTAACTTAAACGGTATTATTAATTTGAGAAAGAGGGCTTTTATAGAAGGTATTTGTTGTGGATGTCCACTAAAGTTGACAATGACGTTTCACGTTTAAAAATGACCCGAACGGGCGTTTGCAAAGACATCCCAGAAACTGCTACCTATGTAAAGGCTTTTAAGGAGTGATTTAGACAAAGTGCCTTGATAAACAGAAAATATGGAGCCTTTATTTGTGTATTGTAGATCTAAATCTCTGGAATCCCAAAGTAATTATCAAATTTTCATGTGAACATTGATAATTAGTACACAGAGCAGAAATAAATGTCAATTTCAACAATTATATTACCCTTTGATGCACACAAATTGTATATTTATAACAGCAGTTGCTCACCTCACTAAAATTTCATCGTCAATATCTGACTGGTCGGCATGCTACTGTGTAAAAACTTTCATTTTTATAAAATCGCTCACACGAAATCCTCTTTATCATAATCATCTAAATTATAAATAACCGTGGTTTGCGCATTTTTCCGCCAAAGCATGATCAAAGTTAATCAGCTTATCAGCGCTTTCAAAATGCTTTTTGTGGTGTTGTCGGTACTTGTCAGTTCGGCGTGTTTGTTGAAGCATTTGCGATTTTTTCGGTTTGATTAAATGTATTTTGCGAATTGACGCATGTCCAATGCCTAACATCGCCTTATGTTAGTATCTGTATACTCACGAGCCCTCTAGAATTATTCCCCGAACTGCGTTCCGATAGTAAGATCAAATTTATAACTAAAATGTCTTATGAGCAAATAACGTTATTACCATTTTCGAACACCATTTAACTAAAAATAGCATTATAAACCAGTAATTTCATAAGCCCTTGCGTGCAGCTGTCCACCCAACGTATTTTACTTCGCAGATTGGTCTTGGCCATTTAATTGTATTGAGCATGCATTTGCAAGTTTGCGGCAAAGCTAAAGTAACTTATTTGATGTTTTTTCTATGCTCTGTAGTCCACGACAGAAATCGGCGGTTGCTGATTTGAAGATTTCATTTGATTTGATATTCCTGGATAAGATATGAGAGTTCACCTTCGAGTATGCGACCTGTTGGGGATTTCATTCCAATTCTGATTATCGTCGAAGTATGCATGTCAAAGTTGACATAACATTGTTAAAAAGAGCGAAATTTCTGCAAACTACATATTATTTGGATGATATTCCCATCATAAATAGTATCATCCCGAATGGGTACTTCTTTCCTAAACGCTCCGATATTCGATGGTTCTGTTAAAAAACAGATTTAAATCATGAGATCTTGGGAAGCCAGCAGACATTGTAGCAGATTACTTGTAACTATTGGAGGTGATTCGGGAACTGAGTTCTTCTTCCCACAGTTTTAATAACATACCGCTAGCTATCGTATACACATGTGTTATACGTCACCTACCGGCAAAGATTCATTTTCAAGGGTTCAATCCTCGATGCAGCCTTTATAAATCCAACTTCGTCCATACTTCTCACCGCTGACCATCTTTGTGCTATTTGCTTAATGTGACCTACTGCGTTGCTTATGCCACTAGTTCTTGTGGTTCTCAGTTGATAAATAATGACAAAAGTCATGCAAGAAGGCAGATTACAAAAGTAGTGATCAATGTTCGTTCCCTTAGGGAGTGCTAAAAGCAATAATTCGGATTTTATCCAGCGCTGTTGGCTGATTTCAGTTAATGTCCATCAACTAAAACTGATTGGTGTCGTTCTGGGATATCTGAGTACGATTGCACACTATGTGGGGTTCGAACAATTAGGCGAGACAAGCATAGTGACTGTCATACGTAAAATACACTAAACGGGGGCCACATGTTCTCATATAAAAATTAAAGTGAATATAGTTATAGGCAGTTGAAAATCATCGTATTTCACAGACTATACTGCAAGAAGACTTTTTTGGGAACAAAGAAGGCAGCGCAAACTCTTCCTAGGCACTGCATAATCCCTTTATTGATTGCTTCAAATACAGTTCTTAGAACAAACTCAGCCAAAAAGAGTTCCACCGTTTGAACTCCAAGTAAACGTAAAACGCTAAAGACGGTTTGCACAGCGAAATCAGTAGTGGACGCCAATAATTAGCACAATGAACGGCACGTCGAGACGCGGTACAGTGAATCACAAAAAGGTGTTGTCAGTTTAACATAACTTTGACGGGTTTTCAGATGCAGTAGTTGCCCGCACAATTTCATTAACCGCCGCAGCTATAAAATAGACGAGAACTAAATCGCACGGACCGCGAAGTTTTGTGAGTGCTTCTGTTCAACTAGAACGCCTCGGGGACAGCCAGACGCCTTCTCGCACCACTTGGAGTTAGAGCCGAAGGCAGACAGGAGGCAACTATAAGTGTTAGGTAATGAGACCAAAATGATCTCTACCATGGCAAAAAACACCTGGAGTAGTTGCAGGCAAAGCAATTACTCTGGAGAAACTTGAAGACTGCTCCAAACTCAATTGACTGAACAGGCAGTAGTGGTGCGGAGAGATGCCCCGGCCACTTATTCAAGTTCATCAAGGCCAATACTGAGAATAAAACGACTCGACCGCTGGGACAGTACTTTTATTCGCCTGATGTTTCGAGATCCGTCACGGATTCGTCATCAGAGACATAGTCAGATAATAGCAGTAGATATTGGGTAGCGTATGCTCAGGTGTTTGCAGTATTTATGAGATACAGTCATTACTGCAAATATACAACGACAATTAACGCTAATCGCCTTCTTGCGTGTTGATAGTTTGTTGAACAGCATGCA